AAACCCAAACAGCATTTGAACGAGTGTATCACATTCCATCGTCTCTGTTAACTGACACGTACGTGTGCAGGAGCAATCGTGAAATGCAGTTACAAATAGTTGGGCATGTGTCTAAATGGCTCCAGAAACAAATGACTAGTGAGTCTGATAAGGAGAGACTTTAAAGGCCACCCTAGCAACTGCTGAGATAACCAATTGTCCTTCCCTATTTTACGAAAAACTTCCTTTTCAGCCGGAATACTGAAACCTGATTAATTATTTTAGCAGTTCCTAGGGTCGCTTTTAAAGTCACTCTTGATAAGTGCAAGTGATAAACATCTTTCCTCATCGATTGCAAAACACATTAGAAACTGGTCATACGATTGGCATGACAAAAGTCTTTACTACACTGCGTAGACATGCTTCACGATAAAGATTTATCGAACTCGTTGGTATACTTATACTTAAGCCCGTTAATCCAGTCAAAAATAATTTGTACTTACACTAAACCTACCTTGGTAGTATTGAGTACAACTCTCTATACTATCAGTAGTAGTCATCTGACCTTTTCTCCCTATCTCGATTTCATTCGGCCATTATTATCTGACTTAATTATAATCCCATTCGTTTTGATATAAACTATTCGGCAAGTTCATATGTGATCAGATTGTTCGAAATGAATAGAGTCAATAAATCACGTTTTCAGATAATCTGCGTTTTCTCATTATGTTGTTTAAACTTATCAGACGAACTAATAATTTCAAACAATGAATTATTCATAAATTTCAGTAGTACTCGTCATCTGGATACTCTACATACTTGATTATTTATACCGTTAAACAATGGAAAAGAATATACATACATACAGAAGACTGAGACATCAATTTAGGTGTAACAACATAGAAGCGAACAGTTTTCACACGTGAAGTGGTAATACATAGGGTAGAAATGGATATTCAAAATTGAATGGGTTAGGGATAGGTTGACGAAGTTTGGATAATAGTGGATTTCAGGCATGAAAATAACAATAATACTGCAGTATATGTAAGGGAAACAGCCAGGCAGGTAAATGTGAGAGTCAAGGAGCATAAACTATGCTTAAAGCAGGTTTAGGCGTGATAATATAGAAACCCAGTGGTCACTGGTTCGAATCCACCCAAGGTTCACCTTCAATCATCACCTAGTATAAATACTAGTCTGTCAAACTATGGCTATCTCAGATAGTCAAATGATAACATAGAAATCAACAGTATCCTGGATTCCACTGCTAGCCACGATCCAACCTTAATAGAAATCAACAGTTTTTTAAGGTCAAATAGATAATAGGGTAGATGTGAATATTCAAAACTGAATGAATTGGGGACAGATTACATAATTAATAGTGAAGTTGAATAACAGTGAAGTCTAAGGGTCACGCAGATTTCAGATAGGATGCTAATGACAAAATAATAATAATAATAATGACACACGGGTGAGAAATGAATCGATTGAGTACAGATTTTGTACGTTATTCAAAAACATGACACCTAATAATACTTACGCAGATATTATAAGAAAACCAGGTGTATATTGAGATGTATGATAATCATAACAATGGTAATAGGCACAGGGTTAACTACTAGACGAAATAAATCAGGAAAATATAAGATGATTGATAATTAGGAGGGAAGAGTTAGTAAGGAATATTGAATACGATTCGATGACGCTGTAATTCCCTACCATGGTGAATTCAACCTAAATACCACTTTAAAACAAACAACGAAAAGCAAGATTTAATGAAATCATAAATTTCAGTAGTACTCATCAGCTGGATACTCTACATACTTGATTATATATACTGTTAAACAATAGAAAAGAAACACATACAGAAGACTGAGACGTAAATTTAAGTGTAACAACATAGAAGTGAACAGTTTTTACGAGTCAAATGGTAATCAGTACACATCAAAATAAGTTGTCTGGATATGCAGAGAAGCCTAAGCGATTCCATTTGTCAAACTAAACCTCTGCATTCAGAAGGGATTGATAGTCCGCTTGAATCTGCCATAGTAGGAATTACAACATTGTCTAATCATATTCAATCCTCCTTACTTGCTCTTTCGTTTTGATTATCACGAATCTTATATTTTGTTTTCATTCCTTGATTTGTTTCGCTTAATTAACCCTATTCCTATTACCATTGCTATCATGATTAATCATGTCTGTATAAGTACTACCAACTATCTTGTTTTGAATGACATGATCTATGCTCAATCGATTCAGTTCTCACTCGTGTTAACATCATTATTGTTATTATCTTTCAAGTTGTTATTCATCGTAGACTGACATCAGTTAGAGGAACAAAGGAAACCTGGGAGCACTGGACAGCTGTTTCATCCTAGTATGGGACTCCTCAGCAGTGAGCACCCACGACCCCACCAGCAGGGATCGAACCCGCGACCTTCAGGTTCCGCGGCCAGCGCGTTACCATTGAGCCACTGGGTCAGAATCCAATGCTCCATATTTCCAACTTCTGCTCCCAGGTTTCTTTTGTTCCTCCAACTGATGTCAGTCTACGATGAATAACAACTTGAAATAATTTCAAATCTCCACAACTCCCTCAAAAGTTATTATCTTTATTTTCCTATATGAAATCCACTATCATCCAAACTCAGTTAACCGATCTCTATCCCATTCAATTTTGAACATCCATGTCTACCCTTAGTATTAGTATTTGACCCGTAAAAACTGTACACTTCTATGTTGTTACACCTAAATTTACGTCTCAATCTTCTGTATGTATATATGTTCTTTTCCATTGCTTAACGGTATATATAATCAGGTACGTAGAGTATCCAGATGACGAGTACTACTGAAATTTATGATTTCATTAAATCTTGCTTTTCGTTGCTTGTTTTAAATGAATTATTCATAATAATCACATTAAACATTGTTTTACCTCACATTTGAACTTATTCGACCTTTAGTTGCATAACAGTTTTGCGTGTCCTTTTAATTGGCAGGATACATTTACAATTTGTAGAGCTTTCTAATATAACACGTTTGAGACTACAACAATATCTAGTACGTTAAACAATCACCTTACATATATACTACTTTTTGCTGAAGACGTAACCTAACAACAATAAAACACCTAAGTAGAGCACGAAAGAGAATTACATATATGACACAGTGACCTACGCAGAATTTCATATAAAAGCCCATTAGACAAACATATCAAATGAATTTAAAGGTCACCCTAGCAACTATTGAAATAACCAATCACACTTCCTTATTTTATAAAAAAAAAACTACCACCCCAGACAAAATACCGAAACGTGATAGGTTATTTGAACGGTTACTAGGTTAACCACAAAGACACTTAACTTATAGCTGATGTGAATACGTGCGTGGAGATTCAACATATCAGTTGGCTGTCTAAACCTCGGTGGATGAACAGGAGTTTAAAGTCATAACCACCTGTTCAATCCTTCAGACGATAGATGAAGAGCTCGAAAAAGTAGACAAAGTTGTGTGAGAGAATAAACAGTTTGAAGATAAAGACTAGTGTGAATATTCCAGCTTTAGAAGACGTCCGAGTGCATAAATCTGCGCCACTCCAACAAATTTTCAGCCATTTCATTCAGATTTCTCAACTATTTATTCCTGTTACTCCGAGAACAACAGACAAGCCGTCTACATCGCAACACACGGCTCAGATGAACAGTCAGACCTTCATCGACCGATGCCAGGTCTTGGTCTGGTCAACGTAATCCGTCTTGCATACTAATCCAACATAGCATGTCAAGGTAGGGAGAGAGATAGCATGCGTAACTCATGTTCAAGTCATCCAGTCAACAAAGGTTTCTGAACTCACCAATCGACTTGCCCGCCTTGCCTAGAACCTTTCGCCTGGCCTCAAAATTGCTGATACAGTAATCTACCAAACGCAAGCAACGCTACGAAGACATCTGTGGTCAAAACCCTGTAATCCTTTCATGTCTTCTGCTTTTAACAGCCATATCTCGCAGCTGTATAACGGGACTGAATAGACTGCTGCGCAGTATACTTGTCCCCTGATACGTGGCCAGGTATCTCGCCAGCTGGTGTTACAGATAATGTAAGTTGGCAAATCCCAAAGAAGCATTCTGTATCCCAGATTAGATTTCGTTAGTCAGCAGCCCGTTCATGCTGGCGTAACTCCCCAAGTAAGTGATGTGGTCAACACATAGAATAAACAATAAAATTTCCTGTGGGAAATTTCCCAACTGGTACACAGTACAAGACATTTGAGTTACACAAACTAATTCTTACAAATAACTCAGTTTTACAAGGATGTCAGTAGTGGGGTGAGTAGCTTACTGGTAAGGTCTCAGAATTCAGCACCGAGCGAAATAGGTTTGAGTCACTGGGGAAACACTCGTTTCTTAACCACTTTACAAAACCCTAGCCAAACAGGGCTTTCAGCTGGTCAATTGTTAGCATCTAACACTAAAACTACACACATCGTGTTTACTTGATACACTAACAGGTTTGTTTCAAGCATAGAATTCCTAAAGAAAATCAAGATGAGAACATACTTACTGAAAACGGCAACTGTAAGTAGGTTAGTTAACTGACTTTCCTAATTATGCAAAGATTGATGATTCGACTTGACTGAACTGAACTTCAATAGGTAGACAGATGATGAAGCATTTACACATGTCAGTGATAAATTCTATCGTCAAGAAGCAACACAAAACTTTGAGACTGACTTTAGAAAGAACAAATTAACCTTGTAGACCATAACTGTCTGATATATACTCAAGACATAAAATACCTTCAGCTAGAATACAAATTCACAGTATATACAAGATTTCAATGAGAAGTTATAAAGTACTGATTCAATCCCCAGACATATGTATTGCTGAGAAAACTGATTTCAAGAATACGAGAACCTCGCCGAATCAATAACTTTACACTTTTAACCAATCATGTAATAACTAAAAGAAAAATCTTAAAATGAATACATAAAACTCTGAGGTTTATATTTCAAAATTTACCATCTTTTCCCTGAATATGAGTTTCATTGCAACCAAATTGATGAATACTTAAATTTTTTCTTAACTGAAGTGTGTTATTCATCTGCTGACTTTTTTTCAGACGTTGTTCTCGTCTTTTTCTACTTCGTCCAGGTTTACTATACTGTAAAACAAAAAGACAAAAATGAGGTAACAGCTTAGTGCAATATTCAAGGTAAGATATCCAAATTTATGCATAGTGCTATAATGGTTTTCATTAGAAAAAATCCCATCAAAAACAGAAGTTATAGAATTCCCCCCCCTCATCACCCTGTTCTATAAAATTTCGGCGCTAATGAATATCATATAATATCCTTAGATCACTATGACATATCCGGGCGACTTATGTAATGAGTTTCAGTTATTTTTTTTTATAGTAGAACGCGAATTATCGTATCAAACATCATAAGAAGAAAAAGTCAGCTTGAAAACTAGTCTTAGCGACTGACTTATATAACAGTCGCTGGAACAAACCACAATTAATAGTTTACATTGAGAAATATTATTATTTCCCGAAACATCGACATGAAAATGCCGAAAAAGGTAAATTAATTTGAATTATACCGTTTCGGATCATTTGAATGCCTGCAAAATTCAAAATCTTGCTCAAGAGTTTTGTCCTACCTGAATAACTGATTCGCAAGTTCATCTAACAAAACTCTCTCTCTCTCTCTCTCTCTCTCTCTCTCTATATATATATATATATATATATATATATATATATATATATATATATATATGCGCTGGACCGAAGAAAAGACCCTAGAAGATTTGGATTTCGCTGATGACTTGTGTCTGATGTCGCGAAAATGGGACTTCAAGTGAATGGAGAGAAGACAGAGGTGATGAAGATATCCAACCAACAACAAGCACCAATCACCATCAACGGGAGAAACCTAAAGAAAGTTGTCTCTTTCACCTACATTCCTAGACAGAATTGTTTCAACTACAGGCGGTACAGGCACAAATGAGAATGTCAAAATCAGGATCGGAAAAGCAAGACAGGCTTTCACTAATCTGAAATCAGTGTGGAGATCTACTGCACTCAGCACAAAGAACAAGATACGGGTTTTTAACACCAAAGTCAAGTCGGTGCTGCTATATAGTTCATAAACTTGGCGTGTCACGAAAACCATCTCCAACAAACTACAGATATTCATTAACAGCTGTCTACGCTCACTCGATACTGAAGATCGATCAGATGGCCAGAAAGAATAAGCAACAAGGAAATCTGGTAACGAACCAACCAAGAACCTATCGCTGAACACATATGCAGAAGGAAGTGGAGATGGATTCGGCATACACTGAGAAGGCCGATAAGGGGGGGGATATCACGCGCCAGGCCAGTTCCTCGAGTGGAACCCAAATGGAAAACGACGAGTTGGGCGTCCCAGCTGAAGGTGACATGGGGGAGATCATGTGAGGAAGAAATGAAAGCTTGTGAGCAGTCGTGGAGTCAGGTTGAAAAGACTGCAGAGAATAGAGTGCAATGGAGGCGTGCTACTGAAGCCCTACGTTCCACTAGGAACCCATGGGAATAATAATATATATTCGTCTCGCCTTCAATCATTACCCAGCACAAAACTAGTCTGCCAAACCACGGCTATCTCAGATAGTCAAGTGATAATCAATATGATGCTCCCCCTCTCCAATTCACTTCAATCTGGATTGGGATGAGAAGTCCTGACTAGGCAGCCAGTGTGAATACAGTGTGAATATATATATATATATATATATATATATATATATATATATATATATATATATATATATATATATATATATATATATATATATATGCAAGCATGCATCAACTTCAACCCATACGATTACATTCAGTTAGAAGTAGTTTCCTTTTGCCTTATCTTGTTCTCAATTGTTAAGAGCTGGGTTGAAGACAATAGTGGGTTCCGAAATTCGTTATGGCTAACCTATTCGAGTGAAACGTGTCGAAGTGTATCGTGTTCTTAGATCTAAATCATATTATTTTAAACCAAAAGCAAATAAAGTAGATATTTCAAGCTGGTATTCATCATGAACTGACATCAGTTGAAGGAACATTGGAAACCTGGGAGAACTGGACAGCTGTTTCGTTGTAGCATAGGATTCCTCAGCAGTTTGCACCACGGATCGAACTCAGGACCTTCAGGTTCCGTGTCCAGCACGTTACCATTGAGACACTGGGTCGGAATCCAATGGGCCATGAGGACAAATACTCAACGATGATATAGGGTGATGGTCGTGGTATAGCGTGAACTGACAGAAGTTGGAAATATGGACCATTGGATTCTGACTTAATGGTGACACCCTGGTCACAGAACCTGGGAGCCCTGTGTTCCATTCCTGGCAGGGTCATGGGTGCGCGCTGCTGAGGAGCCCCCTGCTAGGACGAAACAGGTGTCCAGTGCTCCCAGTGTTTCTTTGACTGTTTTCATCCCTTGATGAATACTAACTTGAAAAGTCATTAGATCCCCCATAAACCCTCAAATTAAACTGGATATTTCCTATAGGTTCAAAGGTATCAAGATTATTCACAGGTGCATGCTGACAATGGGTTGAAGAACAGAACCAAGAAGATTGTTATTTATTACACGTAAAAATCCTCTTCTACGTATTCGGAAAGAGTACGAACAACAATGGAAGCAAGATGAAATGGATCCATTTTATTTCGATGATATCACTTCCGCACAACCTAGAATACTAAAATATATAGTCTTACTGAAAAGTCAACATCTTCCCCCCATATCAGCAACAGAGTTCGAAGGCCTTTCATGAATTTAAGTCTAATTTACCCTGCTACGAAATGAACAGATGTCTGCAACACTAAGAATATGCGTAGGGAAAGTAATTTAGATGTAAGACATCTTCATGTTACCTACCTCCAACTCTGTCTATTTATTTACTTGTAACATGTCAAGCTAAGGTAAGTTGGAATAGGTTAGAAGTGGGTTTATGGTGGGCAAATCAAGATATGGCACAAGTCGATGAGGTCCCTGACTGTTAGTCTGAATCAGGGGTCGAACCCAGAACCTTCGCAGCGAACACATTGCCATTGAGTCACTGATCATAATAAAAATACCTTAGGATAATATACAACTAAAAACTTTACATGTGCATAATATCAAAATGATTGTCAAACTTACACCTGTTAAAGCAGATTTCGGTAGATTAACAGAATACTCAGTTACATTTGTCAGCATCTGAACAATATTTCCAGAGAAGAAAATAGTTAAGAAAATTAACGAATAAAGTACACTTTGCTGATAATATAAAAATAAACATTTTTAATAGAACAGTATTAAAATTTCCTGAAAAATACGAATGGTGAGCACAATCCAGCAAATTTCAATCCTACATGTGTTAAAACTTATACGCTGAAAATGATTAGCAATAATAGAGACAGATTAGTTGTGATAATTAGGCAGTAATGTTTGTAGGATACTCATTAGTGCATTCGATTCGTCTAAAGTGTTGAGTTGTTTCGAATAATGAATTAATCCAGATGAAAGATAACCTAGTTGTTTAACTAAAGTCAAAGAAATGAAGATGTTTTATTTTTCTTAGATGATTTCGAGCATTCACAGTTGAAAAGTATTACTGATATAATTTAAATCCAGCGGCAATCCTTGTTTTAATATCGATGGCTTCAATCATCAATCTGTATCAATAACATTAGTCTACCTAACCATAACTATATGAGATAATCTCTTATCAATAATTCTGATTATGCATAAGATATGAGGAGAAGAGTTATTGAGTACTTGTTAATTTTCAATAATAATTTAACTGATGTCATCGTACAATGAGAGCTGATTACATACAAGGTAAACTATTGGTAAACAGTTATACTCCCTTGGCTTTATTATCTGACAGATGAAGGTGTTGTTCATCTCCATGAAGACTAGGCATTCTTCGACGAGGGTTAGGGAGCACTAAAATTGCTATGAAATCTAATTTTATGTCTGAAACATTTGAATTTAGTATTGTCACACCTTTATACCTCAGCACTTTATTTTACACTCATTATTATTTAAGATCACTTTAATATTGATGAATTTAATTTTTGATACATCAATATCTCCCTTCTTATATATAGTCTACCTACATGTGTAATGTTAAGTGAAGTAGGATTGAGTTGGAAGAAGGCTCAAGATGAAAAGATTGCGACGTGGCACCAGTCCACGAAGTCTCTGACTGTTCATCTGAGTCATGTAGCGGTAAAAAGTTTTTGACCACAGGTATCTTAGTATCATTGCTCGTACATGGTAGACTCACCATGTTGGCAATGTCAAGATCGGGCGGAAGATACTAGGCAAGGAAGGAGATCGATGAGGTTGTGAACCTTCAGCGAGAGTCTAGAGCTGTCTCATCGGTCTAGAGAAATAACACCGCTCCGCCTACGGGGGTTTGGGAAGCCAGGTAGTATCATAAGCCCTCACACAATAGGTGTGGCTCATTCCCTACTGCGCAAATGTGCACGAAATTGATGAGTGGATTTCATTCATTCATGCTGAACCACCGTCTGCTTCATCGTGGAACGCTAGGTGAAGCTGGATTGGTTTGGAGGGTTCAGGATGGTCATACGAAAACGCGGCACCAGTCGATGAAGTCCATGACTTGATCTGAGCCGTATAGCAACGTCTAGAATATCTGGTTGGTGTTCCGGAGATAACATGAATTAATAATTGGAAACCTTTGGTAACATCGCTGAAAATCAGTCACAACAGCGTCTTCCTAAGCTTGAATATTTTCCCTAACCTTCCAAACTCTTTTTCCTCCTATACAATTTTGCCGACTTTGATGGTACTCTTTTACGAATCATTTGTTCTTTTCGTGCGGCTGTGACGTGTCGCAACTTGAAACGATGCACTTATGGGCGAGGTTGTACATTGATTTTGCTCTAGTTTTTGCAGAGGTGGTAAACATTCTGGTCAGAATCTACATGCTTTCTATCTTCTACGTTGAATTTGAGTGTTCATGTTGTCAGTGCTTGCAATACTGTGATACAAGGTTTAGAGTTAACTTGTATCACAGTGAAATAACCTAATGAATTTATCAAAAACAACAATGGGAGCAGCAGGATAAAACAGACCCATCTTATTTCGCCGGTGTTTTGTCAACTGCTTATAACCTAGAATATCAAAATATATCATCTTACTGAAAGTTTAACATCTCTCCATGTCAGAAACAGAGTTCAAAAGCCTTCCACTAATGAAAATCCATTATTATTATTATTATTATTATTATTATTATTATTATTATTATTATTATTATTATTATATTGTCTCTTGGGTTCCTAGTGGAATATAGGACTTCAGTAGCACGTCGCCACTTCACTCTCGTCTCTGTAGTTTCCCTAACCCGGCTCCATGACTACCCAGAAGCTTTCATTTCTTCATCACACGATCTTCTCCATGTCACCCTCGCACACCCAACTCGTCGTTTCCCCTTTAGGTTCCACTCGATGGCCTAGCGCCGTGATGTCCCCAAATGGTCTTCTCAGTGAATGCCCAACCCAATCCATGTCCACTTTTTTCCACTGATTATTTGATGGACAATAGGTTCTTCGTCGGTTCGTTGCCAGGCCACAGTTTCTCCTTGCTTATTCTTATTATTCTGGTCATCTGATCTCCATCTTCAGTATCGAGTGAGCATATGCGGCAGCTGTTCATGCATGTCTGCAGTTTGTTGGAAATGCTCTTCATAACGCACCAAGTCTCTCAACCATCACATAGAAGCACTGACTTGACTGATATTAGTATTGAAAATCCGGATTTCGCTCTTTATGCTAAGTGCAGTGCAATAGATCTCCACACTGATTTCAGATTAATGAAAACCTGTCTTGCTGTCTTTCCAACCCTGGCTTTGACATCCTCATCTGTGTTGCCGCCTGTACTTGAGACGATACTGCCTAGGTAGGTATAGGATGCTTAATTCCAAACTGAACCCAACCATTTCCATGGGTATTGTACTAGGTCACAAACTAGCTGATATCTTCGTAGCCAATCTCCAGAACATAAAATTTAAAGGTGCAATCGGCGAAACGTCATTTTACACAAAGTATATTGACACCACTGCTATTTTTTGTGGTGCTATATCCTAAGCATCGTATTTGCTAAAACGTTTTAATAACCGCTATACGAAAATGATTAAAAGTTTAATTTTCTTGATATCACTACACAGCAAGCCTCATTACGCCCATCGATCGAAAGATCAGTTAGAATAATACCTACCTGGAATATAACAGCTTCCTTCACACTAACTAAAAAACGACATTACTTAGAATATGTTCCAGTGATAAACTGGAAGAAGAGTTGGAAATAGTTGAAAGATGCTTATATAACAATGAATATTCCCAAGCATTTATCAACACACGGAAAAATGGAAGATAAAAAGTCAAAGAAAGCTACAACCTCAATTTCAAAGGTAGATAGCATTTCAGGAACTATTAACAGACGACTGAAGACATCACTGGAGAAAACTTTCCCTACACCGAGGTTAACTCCTCTATACTAAACAGTATGCTCTTTAGTCCAGTCAAAAGTCATCGGGTACCTCTTCCCATGTCACTTTTAACTGTCTACACCAACTTGCGCGTAAATCTCGAAACAGATACATTGGAAAAACCAGAAAGGACGGTGTACCTTAGATTTTCTGAACACATTCCAAACAGCCGACGACTGAGGGGAAGTAACACTTTGAATGGTGCAATCACCCGGCATCTGACTGACACTCTACATCAGGTGGACATCTTCGATTCTTTCAAGAAAATAACAAACCAAATGAGATCAATCCTGTTGAAGCTTGAAGAAGCCATACCCATTAAACAGCTCAAAATTGATTTATGTGTCCAAAAAGAAGCTGAAGTCAATCTATCCACCATGGTAGTCTTTTTGTGACTGTTATTTCATCACATCATCTTGTATTGAATTTAGATACATATTGCTTCACTCTATTTTCACTATATCATCTTTTGTTCATATAGGATGTTTTTAACTAACTCAGGTTGCCTCACTATATCTTGTTTATTTATAGTATGACCTGCTTATATTATTTTATAGTGTTACGTCCTTCAATATTTTGACCGGCACTCTTGTCATTATTTTTTATTCCAGAAAGTTTCATTTCACTGCAAAAACCTCTTACCATTTCCTTAAATTCACTGTTACGACTGACATATTATCTACTACTCTTTCTATCCATCTCAACCACTGACCAACATTCTCTTCTCTTTAATGAAGTTTTCAATAAAACTATATCCTTTGATAGCTTAGGTTATAAGCAATTGATTTCGTCGAAAACAAACCCTGTGAAGAGCTACTTCAAATGCAAGTACCACGTATAGTTTATATTAGGGAGTGAAAGAACAATTCCCTCGAAAACTTTAGGTAAACTTTGAAACAATAAAATTATATCGAGTCAAATGAACATACACTTGATTCAGTATACTGTTTTCACATAGAAGTTAGAAAACCAAACAAATTGTCTGTTTCATTCAATATTTATTTATTACACTGGTAGATTAACGCTTTGACAGAACGGAATAAAGGTACACTTAAGGAGTTGTTGGCTTCAAAAAGACGGTATTGGAAGACAGAACTACCGTAAATATTATTAGCGCATCGTGCATCAGTACAAGGAACAACTAAGAAGTCATCGTTCCAGTTAATATATGGCAGGAAACCACGGCTCATAATACACAGCAAGACCTGACCCCAACAACGGCCGTGAAACATGACAAAATTCAGAAAGGAGCGGAAACAGGCAATCAGAAATGTGGAACAAAAACAGAAAGCTGAGGCTGAAAAATCCAAGCACCGAGAAGGAAGTAAATGGAAACGGCCTGAGGTTGGAGATCAAGTGGAATGCAGAAGACGAGGATATACATCAGGAGGTGAATATGATACAAGGAAACTGCTCCCGAAGTGGGAAGGACCATACATCATTACCAAGAGATACGGTTCGGTTTATACTATCAAAAAAGGGGACAAAGAGAAAAGAGTAAACTCCAGCCTACTTCAAAAATGCAGACGTTGCATGGACGCCAAGAGAAGACAACATAAAAACAATCAACACGGCGACAAGTAGGATTTTTCAGGATATCTGATACTGCATCACCTTTGAAGTCCAAGTTAATGAACAAAGTCTTTTTTGAAACTGAGCTAGTGACTGGTTTCGCATGTGTTTCTTGTATATTCTTATCGATAAATCGGCTAGGATAGCCATTTTCCGCGAGCATCCGTCTTAAAAAGTCAAGTTCAAGTTGGATACATTCCGTGCTGCAAATATTACGTATTCGATGGCACAATGAGCGGATGAGGCTTCTCTTCCTCATGATCGGCACCCAGCTATAGAAATTAGTGAGTTGTCCATTCCATGTGGGTTTCCTGTAGATGGATCTTTCCAGCGTTCCATTGCTACGCTTCGTAATCAGTACGTCAAGGAAGGGAATAGCTGATTGCAATTCCTTCTCAATAGTGAATTCCAACGCTGAGTGACAATTGTTAAACTCGAGTAGGATGTCATCCAGATCGATTAGTTGAGTCGCAAATAACGAATATATCATCCATATATCGTTTATAGATATCAAAATGCTTAATAGTTTGGCTAAGAATAGAATTTTCTAGTTTTGATATGAAACAATCGGCCATTAGAGGTCCTAGTGGGGATTCCATTGCAACCCCATCGTTTTACCGGTATATCCCACCATCGAAACTAAATTGCACGTTGAAAATACATCTCATCAATAGGTCTCTCAAGTAGTTTGTTGGAATTCCTACTTCTATACTGTATGGATCGATGAAATCATATAATTAACAAACTGTTTCAGTGAGTGGTTCATTGGTGAACAATGAGGTAACATCTAAGGAAAACCTAAACCTTTGATTGTTGATTCACGTTCTCATCCCTTTTAATCTATATGCACTTTATAAATGATTTGAAAGTCTTACGTGACCCCTTTTCATTACCATCCAACCTTTACGTCATCAACTATCAACATTATAATTATCACCACCATCATCATTATTGTTCCAACCCCCCATTATTTCAGTTAAATCTTAGACACGGATTACAGTCTTTAAATATCATATCATATATCATTAAATATCATATACATATGTATATACGAATGTACAGCTTGAGAATAAATTCGTTGAAAAGAGTCCTCTTCGCTGAATATCTTGTTTTTGATATCAAAATACATATATCTCATGTATTTGTCTAATAAAGTTGTAGTTGTTTTTGAAGTCACAGGCCGTCTTTGTCTTCTGATCTTTTCGCAACTCAGTGAAGCAGAAGGTACTGATGGAGGTCTATTGAGTCTCAGTATCATTTATACCCACGTCCGTAATTCCACTCGGTCACAACAGAATGAATGTGAGAAATCAGTATGATTACTGCAACAAGTATTTCGAGTTCTTATCCAAAAAACTGTTCACTACTAACGTTCAGAGTAGGTAATCATAAGTAATAATTATAACTGAAAGCGTAGAATCTCATTTGACTACAAAACTTATAGCTAGAAATGGGAATCGTACAGGTAATTGGGGCCTTTTTACACAATCCATTGAAGATGATGCAAAAACAGAAATATTTAAGTAAAGACTATATCAGGAGTATGAACACACTGGTTACAAATAGGCTTATCATCAACTGATCCTGGTAACTTAATTCTCTACCCAGATAAGAAGACACCTTAATGTGGCTGAGGGTAGAATGAACTTGCTCATTATCTAAATTATCATCATACGGCCATAGTTTCGTAGCTTCTATCAGGCTAGTTTAAGTTACTGCCCTTTTTGTATGATACATTCCTTGCTGATCCCTACGCTGTACCACCACTATGCCTATAAGTATAATAATAAACCCGTTTTTGGAAGTAAATATATTCTGAAGAAATATTTCTTTAATATGAAATAGTGGGAAAAGAGTAATATTGTACCGATAGTCAATCATAACCTACCAAGTTCCAGTAACGATCAAAAGCGATCAAGTTGCCGATCAGTGAAGCACGCGGCTCTTTTAAACCTCGAGTCATAACTACTACTTGACTTTGATTTTGCATAGCTTTCCATAATCTAGCCATAGGACTGTAAAGACGCTGTTTACGTAAATGAAGACCAGGTCCATAATGACGAAATAGTGAAGGATCAAAACCTTACATGTATAAAACAAGATAAGTGATTAATTTGCATTATAAAATTCATTTGAAAGAGAATGGGTTTCCCGTCGACCATCTTTAACATCAATCAAATTGGATTTTGAATAACTGACATAGTGTTTCTAGTAAATGATCTGAGTTTAACGTCTGTAACAAACAGTGCAGACTACAAATCAACGTCTGTTAAGGAAATCAGTTAGTATGCGTTTTATTCCAAGATCGGAAGATGGATTGCAGATTCATTGGATCATTCTACTCTTATCATAGTCGAAAAATAATTCAAAATACCTCAGAATCGATAGAAAAAGATTTTTTTCTTCAGTGAGATCAACTAAAGCTGATCTTGTCTAGTTACTGTACATGTCGAAAACTGCTGACTGGAAATACCTACTCAATTGACCTAGTGTTTTCATTATTATTATTATTATTATTATTATTATTATTATTATTATTATTATTATTATTATTATTATTATTATTATTTATCCCTTGGTTTCCTGGTGGAACATACGGCTTCACTAGCCCATCACCATTTCACTCTCTTCTCTGCAGTCTTCTCAACCTGTCTCCACCACTGCCCACAAGCTTTTATTTCCTCCTCACACCATCTTCTTCTTGTCACACTCGCCTCGGATGCCCAACTCGTCGTTTTCCACTTAGGTTTCACTCGAGGACCTGGCGCGTGATGTCCCCAAATCGTCTTCTTAGTTTATGTCCAATCCAATCCATCTCCACTTTCTTCTGCATGTTTGTTGGGCGATGGGTACTTGGTTGGTTCGTTCCTAGGGTTTCTCCCTGCTTATTCTTATTATTCTGGCCATATCATCTCCATCTTCAGTATCGAGTGAAGGTAGGCGGCAGCTGTTGATGTGGTGCATGTCTGGAGTTTGTTGGAAACACTTTTCGTGACACGCCAAGTCCCTCAGTCATCATATAGAAGCACTGACTTACTTAACTGACATTAGTGTTGAAAATCCGGATCTCGTTCACGCTTTATGCTGGGTGAAGGGCAGTAGATCTTCCCGATCCTGGCTTTGACATTCTCATGTGTGCCTGTGCCGCCTGTAGTGGAAACGATGCTGCCTTGCCTAGGTAGGCGTAGGTGAAACAGACCACCTCCTTTAGATTTCTCCTGTTCATGGTGATTGGTGCTTGTTGTTTGGGTATCTTCATCACCTCTGTCTTTTTTACATTCACTTGAAGTCCTATCTTCGCTGCCTCTTCTGTTGACTTGTTAGTTTTCGCCTGTAGATCTTCGAGTTTTTGCTACATTACACATGAACCATCATCGGATAAATCCAAATCCCCCAAGGTCTTTCCATCGGTCCAGCCAGCCCCGCTCCTCCCTCCCCACAGTTTGTTTCATGATCCAGTCCAGTCGAAAACAATCAGGAAGGTGATCGGTGACAGTAGGAAGCCTTGTCTTGCTCCTGTTTTCACTCCAAAGGCATCACTGAGCTTTCCACTTTGAATCACTTGGCATGTAGCATCCTGTGGCTGCCGTTGAATGACGCTGATAAAGGTTTGTGGCACTAAAACCGTAGTGTTGAAGCAGCTGACAAATTATTTCTCAGTCGACGCTATCGACGGCCTTTTTAAAATCGATGAAGTTGAGGTAAACAAAAATACATGAACTAATAATGCTTTACCGCATTCGAGGCAGATTTCGCATTAGCGAATCAACAACAGAAAATATAAAGACAGAAAGACGAAATCTTTAAATAATTCATGCATACACACGCTACATTTTCTCACTCAATGAATACACTGTTGCGTTTGTTTTACAGCTCATTATTTACATTCCTGTTACAAGAGCATCACTGGATATAAATAAGGGGGTTACTCTATAGCTATATGTAACCTCGCCTAGTTTACAAGTTCACTAGTTACTAGCCGGTCATTAGCCCGGATAAATAGGGAAGATTGAGAATACGGCTAGCAACCCTGCCCGTAAAACTAATCCAATCACTAAAGAAACTTCAAAGCACAGAGAAAATATTAAAAAAAACTTATTCCTCTCTGGAATCGGAGGGATGAAATGACGCCGGTTGGTGAATGCTTTCGGGAAGCCAATTGACCGATATGTCTTCTCTCAATCTCTCTGACGCTAAACATTAATGCGAATCCCTTGAAGAGATAATTATATCTTAGTGGCTTATTCCTTTTTACCATATGTGAATATATTCATAAAAACAAACTCAACTAAGGAGATTTTCACTAACCACAATCTTACAAAGACTATGATCAGTCAATCAGAGAACTGATACAAGTCCAAAATGAAACAGTACAGTAAATTGGTCAAAAGAAAACAATACAGAAAATTCTTGAAACAGATAAACATGATATAGGACAAAGAAAATCGGTGTTACATACTTTTCCAATAATTTATTAACAATCTTGAACGTCTTGTTTTAATTTGTGGTTGGTTCATTGAATCTGATGCGATATTTTCATCTGCATATCCATGAGATGAATTATTAGCCTGTTTAAGTATAAACCAAAAAAGGCTAAAATTAGTTAGAAAATCTATACAATATGTCTGAATGAACGAATATCAGGGAGTAGTAACAACAGGAAAATAGATGTATCTAATGAATGCAACTACAATCAGAAATCCGTTGCATCCACTGAAGTGTGTGTGCAGCCATCTACTACCATCAGACGTCACATTAAATGTGACTATTTGTCTAACGCACATAGAATCGGTTGAAAATTGAAATGTACTCAAAAACCTTATGCTCATTTGTGTAGTAAGCAATGAGCCATACCTATTTTGTGAGGGCTGATAATACCACCTGGCTGTTCAAACCTCAGTAGGTGGAGAGGAATTCGAATCCACGGTCCATTGGTTGAAAATCATCTTCATAAATCAATGAGTTACAGCTCCACACTTACATATGGATGTTAAGTTGTATTCTCTAAACGTTACCATCATCGTTTAATATGCATATCTTTACTACATGAAAGAGAGAATTGAACCTTACTTATAATATGCCTAATCTGATCTCCGAAAATTTAATCTTTCCTAAATATCCATTAAAAGAGTGACTTTACAGACAACTCGAGCTACTGCTTCAATAACCAACAGGGTTTCGATAATTTGTCTGGGTCGGTAATTTTGCATAGAATAAAGAAATGTAATTGGCCATCTCAGTAGTTGATATGATGGTAGCCTTTAAAGTCAATCACAACTTTCAAGACGTAACAGTTCATAAAAGATATTTAGATTCACTACATTAATTAATGTTTCCCTGTTCAACAATGATAGCAGGCAGTAGAGTGAATGTTTCGTAACATATGTAAGTCAACAAGAAAACAAAACGTGAATTCATTTAACCTAATAGAATTTTCTTTATGTAAAGTCAAAATTTCATTGGTCTATTGAACATTGAGTGGAACAAAAGGCATTAGTTTCTAGGGCAAAATTAGAGAATATAACAGCTGCAATTTAGAATGAACGTCAGTACAGGTAAAGTTGTGTACGAAACGCTATGAAACGACCACAAAATTACATATATACTTTAGAAACAATCCTACACTGTAACTTTCATGATCTACAGAAGTTAAAAATTTAATCTTCCCGAAATGTAACTTGTGAAAAGTGTAACTAAGCGACCATGTACAGAATTGTCCATTAGGTGGTGAGCTCCATATCAATACATGGTTCATGATATTATCTGGCTACCCGGACGTCAGTAGTGAAAAAAAGAAATCCACTTAGCGACCTTTTACAGCTTCGTGCAGTAGGCAATGAACCATACCTACTGTATGAAGGCTAATGATGCTACTTAGTCGTCTAAACCCCATTAGGTGGAGCAGGGCTAAAACGTGATCCATCGGTTAAAAATCATCTCCCTAGACCAATGAGCCACAACTCAGTAGTAGAGATGGGTCTCCTCGAATCCGTGATGAAAGGTAGTATTTTAAACAGACAGACAACATTGTGAAAAGAGTAAAACTTGTACTTACCTACTTTCCAATGCACATGCTAGTTCAGAAAATACATACATGAGGACAGTATGAGCTAGGAAAAGCCTATTTGAATATTTCTTTATATACATTTATTAACAGTCTTGGTCGAAAACAAAATAGTGAACATGGGTATCTTATCTATTAAACAAAAGTTTCATGTCACCAAATACTGAATAAGTGATTGGCAGTTTTTCGCTGAAAGTGGTACCAACTACTACGAAAGGCCTTACACTCTACGTTAAGTAGTACCTCTCAGAGATGTCCAGTTTCTACATTTCACTACTTAACTTTGTCATAAATGTGCATGTAAAGATCTATTCCTACTGGTCAGATCTTACCGACATTGATCTAAAAGGAGACTTTTACAACAATAAAGCCCAGCTAGGTAAAGATATAGTCTTTTAAACATGTTGAGTGACAATTTGAGAATGCTTAAAACGCCATTCTCATCTTCCAAATGCATACTATCGCTTCAGGCCAAGTTTATGCTAGTGATGAAGCCGTGGCTTATTGGTTCAGGTGGTGGACTTCCATCCAGTGGGTTACGGGTTCAAACTCAATTCCAATTACCACAGTTGGTGTGCCAGGTAATGACACTAGCCCTGAGACAACAGATGTGGCTCATCACCCAGTACATAAATCTGTACTTGATTGCTAAAATGTATTTTTCCCATTTTTGCTAATAACTCACCTAACGATATGGAATGGTGATTGACAGTGTTGATCATTTCACCAACTTGAGGAGTTAGATGGGTTAGTTACTGATGGAATTTCGGCACACAAACAAAGATGATTGGCTTTGGCTAACCTAAACCACTTGTGGAACGGGTGAGATATCCATTTATCAAGTGTACTGTGCAACCCACATCGCTAATCCTACTATATTACTGTGAAAATTGTCAATAGAAGTGGAGGCTTCAAATGTGCGCCCACCACAGTATCTTGAAACCAACATATCAATAATTCACACGATGAGTGTAAATTCTCAGAATGTTAGTCCATGAGATCATGAACATCCGTAGACTAGAATATGATTTCAGATCATGAAGTGTCTGACTTGTTTTGAGCCGTGTACGGGAAACCAGGCTTTCAGATTGGAGTTAAGGACACATCTGAAGCCGATAGCTTGAGACTTCCGGGAATATGGTCAGGAATCAGCAGCGGTGTTTCAGATACATCCGTGCCATAGGATTAATCGTAATATAACACTCCGCTGCTTAGTTCATTTTGAACTAGTCTTCTGTTTTTATTTCTACGGGTGTGCAATAGTGCAGGATTTAGTTTTAGTATTGACTAAGTACCGAAGCTTCTTGCTCTTAAGCCTGCACTTCGTGAATTACTGGTTCCAGTCCTACTTCACCAAATTCACTTTGAGTAATACAGCTAAAAATATACTAAAACACTTATATCCCGATACTAATTGAAGCAAACAAATGTTAATATAGCAGGATTTAACGAATTCATAAATTTCAGCACTACTCGTCAGCTAGATACTTTACATACTTGATTATGTGTACCGTTAAACAATGCGAAAGAACATTCATACATACATAACGTAGACTGAGACATAGATATAGGTGTAACAACAGGTCAAGTTGTAATGCAAAGAGTAGAAATGGATGTTCAAAATTGAAAGGGTTGTGGATAGGTTGCATGAATTACCATGAGTTTAGATAACAATGATGATAATATTAATGTTGATACAGGGGTGAGAACTGAATCGATTGAGCGTAGATCATGTCATTCAAAACAAGATAGTTAATAGTACTAGTTTAGACATAATAAGAAAACCAGGTGTATATTGAGATGAATAATAATGATGACAATGATAATAGGAATAGGGTTAATTAGGCGAAACAAATCAATGAAGCAAAACAAAAATATAAGATGGGTGATAATTAAGGTTTCCTATAGATGAGCCTTTCGATAGATCCATCGATTCTTTTCACTAATGAGACATTGAAGAAACTAATCGTATTATTTCCCACGTGCTCAATCGTAAATGTCAGGTTTGGGTGACATGGATTGAAGCTCTTTAGTAGTTGCTTCTGCCCCCATTTCGCTTTTACATATAGTGAATATGTCGTCCATGTAACGCTAACACAGTTCCGTCTGAGGAATGAAGCACTTTAAGCTACTAGTTTCCAGACTTGACAAAAATAAGTCAGCGAAAAGGGGGCCCCAGAGGGCTTCTCATCGCGACTCCATCGGTTTCGCGGATGCCTGTGGAACTGGATGTTTTTGGTGCATAGATTTAGAATCTTCTACAACTCGTTTGTTGGAATAGGGATATTATCAGCAGCCCAATAAATAAACTCAATATTTTCACCAACTGGTACATTTTTGAAAAGAAGACAGTATCAAATGGACCATGATGCTTACCAGTGCTGTTGTAGTCGGTGATGCTTCGAATAAATTGGAAGGTGTCAGAAACAGTGTATTCTCCTAGATGTTTACGCAATGATTCGAGAATTGAGCTAATTTGTGACAGAATGAATTTATCATTGATAACGTAACCTTGGGTCCGTGATCTAATAGGTTTAATACTTTTAAATGTGGTTACATCTATGTATTTAACCTCGAAAAACCGTCTTAGTTGTTGTACCATCTGCATTTCAATATATAATGTTTGATTAGTAGACGGAAAAATACGAAATTGCTTGGAATCTCACAAGCCCGCGTGATTCGAGTTGTCAAACCAGACCTCTGCGTGCAAAAGGAAATCATAGTCAGCTTGAATCTGCCATGGTAGGAATTGCAGCCTCACTTGGTCATATTCAACCTTCTTTACTTGCTCTTCCCTCCTAATTATCACCCATCTTATATTTTTGTTTTGCTTCATTGATTTGTTTCGCCTAATTAACCCTATTCCTATTATCATTGTCATCATTATTATTCATCTCAATATACACCTGGTTTTCTTATTATGTCTAAACTAGTACTATTAACTATCTTGTTTTGAATGACATGATCTACGCTCAATCGATTCAGTTCTCACCCCTGTATCAACATTAATATTATCATCATTGTTATCTAAACTCATGGTAATTCATGCAACCTATCCACAACCCTTTCAATTTTGAACATCCATTTCTACTCTTTGCATTACAACTTGACCTGTTGTTACACCTATATCTATGTCTCAGTCTACGTTATGTATGTATGAATGTTCTTTCGCATTGTTTAACGGTACACATAATCAAGTATGTAAAGTATCTAGCTGACGAGTAGTGCTGAAATTTATGAATTCATTAAATCCTGTCTTTTTCACATTTGTTGATTGTTTTAAAAGTTATTAGTTTAGGTACTTAGATTTTCACTGCTGGACATCTGTTTCCAAAATTGTTTTGGCAGGTAGTAACGGTAGCTCTTACACGACAAATGTTCTATAGCTTAGTATACCATGTCGTTTTGATAAGTGAGGTCAGATGGTCATTTTCACCCTGATTATGCCTTGTGAAGGAGAATTATTTTTAAGTGCTATCACAACCTCACCTAGAAATTTAAACATTCACATCCACATATACAAGTAACAAACAGTGCGTTCATTCACAAACAGATTCAATATGAACTACTCTAAGAGACTAAAAAATAGAATGCCAAAATCTTGTTTAGAAAATATGTACAAAACAGATAAAACGAACTGTACACAAAAATAAGTCAAATGTGAAATCCATCTTCTTGATCTGATTAACATTTGGAGAAATGGTACAGTAGCACTTTAGAACGATAATGCTAATAACTTGAACTAATGCACTTTTGTGTCAGGTTCTATGCTGATCTGTGTTTATTCGAAAGATAAGACAAAATGAAAGTGAAAGGAGGCACAAATTTTTTTTGCTGGAAGTTACATCATAAATTGAAATAAAAAGGAAATGAAAGTCAACTTTAATGGATTTTAAACATGAAAATATATACATATGTATATATAAATTGATTTTGAAGTGTTTGAAATGTTTAAACTAAGTCTAAAATCTCTTTGGTATTTCCCAGTTCATATTTTGAACAGAATTAGTATTATCAAGCTGTGAACGATGAACAGGACAATCAGATACCCCGAAAGGTTGCATAGAGGGAGTGGGAAGGAGAGAGGGTGGATTTAAACGAGGTATATTAATTATATGCATATCTGAAGATTTCGTTGTATTCTCATACCATTTCTTGAGTAAGGATTTGTCACTATGTACAAAATTGGAACTTCTATAATTGTTACCTTTCAGATGTAATGATTGCTGCTTTTTTCGTAAAACAGACTTTTGTGTGTATGAACTGAATTCGCGAGGCTGACTATAATCATAGTCAGCACAATGAGTTGAAATATGAGATACGGAAGAAACAGAAGAGCAGTCTGTTTTCATAGAGTTTTCCTGAATTTGTGGAGTGTAAGTTCGGTAGTCACTGTCTTTGATAAATGATAAATATCCTTCCTTGTACATAGAATATGCTTTCTTGTCATCATCGTCAACTAACGAGATCCGTAGATCTACGTCCACTGGAGAACTTATAGAGACAGAATCCGCTTCTAACATTTATTCTGTTTTGTGATTGGCGTCTTCGTCTCTAAAATCAATAACGAAGACGGTTGTGCACTAAGAATAAATAACCGAAAAAAATAACCTGTAAATAAATAGATTTTCTATCCGATGAATTGCTCACTATCAAATATGTGAATGTTACTGGTCATCAAAAGTGGATCCTGATAATTGCTATTGATAGAACTGACTACAATTATAACAAGTGAAATACTTTAACCGTGAATAACATTTATGATACTGCTAGGACACTGTTTTAACTGTTTTTTCGGCAAGGATGTTTCCACAACGATGAAAGGGTTAAAACCGGAATTACTAAACTGAGATATAATTTGTCAGCTGTTTTGGTCATTCGTACTACTAAGGATTATAGCAATTTACTCAAAATAGAAAACATTTTCGAAACAAGAATTAGCAAAAAGTTACCATCACCATCATTAATTAGGTGAATAACACCCTCTGCCACAAAGTCATTTTTACCTCATCGATCAATCCTATTTATAAAAGCCTGGTCAGGCCATGTGTGCTCTTTGAGATCAGTTCTTTTCCATTAAGTTTTGGTAAATACATTATTAATTCAATTTATGGTCTAAACACATGTTTTCCCTGTATTAGATGGTATAATGAGTATTGAATTGGAGTCGAACTCGCACGTAGCAACTAGCAACAGTATAGAAATAAATACATAACAAAAAAGCTGTGAGTTTAAAACAATGCTACTCACTGCCTAAACGTAGGTTGCGTACTCATCTAATAAACCGTACCTAGTGCATTAGGGTTGCTTATACCACTTGACCGTTTGAATTTTGGTAGGCGGACAGAAGTTAGAATTTTTTTTACCTTTCGTCTAAAATTCCTGTCTAATTCAATGTTCTACAGCCTCATATACCAATAAATAACAGTTTATTAATAATGAGCCTAGATCGCTGCCTCACAAGTTTGTGCTGTTGTAAAACTAACAAATCATACAAACACCAGCTTCCTTTTGACAGTATAATAGAGTAAACTTGGTACGGTGGGTAGAGGTTCTCTTTTGTTACATGACAATTAGATCAGATGCACTTATGAAACTATACATTACATTCAGTCTTGATAAAATAGCTCAGTACAAGAAAGATGAATGGAGACGTATTTTAGAAAATATGATTACAAGACGGAAGTCGGTTGACAGACTTTATGGGAAAATTACAGGATCATTTATCTGGAAAAACTAAGCGTCAATGAACTCATCCTTATCATAAAGGACGTTTGTGTAACTGGAGATGTTAATAACTTGAAAGCTCTCTAACAGAAGTAAAGAATACAGATGGTAGAAAACGATGACTGGAAACCTGGTGATTTTCATCAAAATCGGTCTCAATGGCAGAAATGTATGCACTATCTGTTATCTTTCAAGTTTTGAATTCATTAACGTCCATCTATCCATTCTTGCCTCTCATAAACGTTTGCATACCATAATATCACCTTACCGAGCAATTATTTACATGCTGCTGTGAATTGTGGCAACTTAAACCGATGCACTTCTTTGTCAGATCGTACGTTGGTTCATCTGTTTGACTTGAATATTGACAAACAGCAATTTGAAAATAAGTGCAGTGAGTGACTTGGAAATCCAGTTGAAAGTGATTACATTCTATGAGATGAACACATTGTTTTGAAATGTTTAGCATGTCTTGAGTTGACTGATATTATATCCAAGATCATAGGGTCCATAATTATCCGACACCCGAATGCAAAGTTGTCATTAGAATTGACGAGAACTAGTAGTATCCGCCAGGGACGTTCATTGTCGCCGTTGCCATTTAACTTCGTTATAGACGTACTAATGGGCATAACCTTAGGTGCATCTAACTTCACAGGGGGTGAGCTACCCCCTGGAGGCCATCAGGTTGACTCGGAGTATGCAGATGAGTGTCCTGCTAAGTGAAGATCCTGAAAAGATGCAGTCTTTTTGAACGCCTTGAGCAGAGACTTGAGTATGACTAGTATGCGCTTTGCACTTGTTAAATGTAAAGTGATCTTCCAGAACTGGTCTGCTGGAGGCACTCCCAGCTTAATTATATGGAAGTGAAGTCGTGGAATGTGTCGACCACTTAACCTACTTGTAGAGTTTCATCAGCCCGAACAGGCTGCTGGTTGCCTAAACCTCAGCTCAAATACAGAAAGACCGGCATTTGCCAACTTTAATCATCTATGGAGCCAACTAGCGAGATTTCCGACTTCATTAAAGGACGAGTATACGGCGCTGCAGTCCGTCCTGTCATACGGCTGAGACATCCCCATTGAAAGTAGAAGATATGGAGAGATTACAGCGCTTTGATCACAGATGTGTTCGTAGCATAGCCTGCATTTGGTGAAATCACAATGTGAGCAATGTTGAGGTCACGTGAAAAGTAACAAGCAGGACAGGCAAGTTGATTGATGAGGTTGCGAAGCTTCATTGGCTGAGTTGGTCTGGATATGTGTTGCGAATGCTGAACGAACGTTTACTTCGACGTACCGTGCCAAAGGAAGTTGTATTACGTCAGAAGAGGGTTCACGTTGGTCAAACCAAAACGTCGCACCAATTGATGAAGTCTCTTACTGTTAATCTGAACCATGTAAGGAGATTCAGGCTACCTGGTTGCGGTCCGCAAAACGATAGGAACCAGTAGTTGGACTTTGGTAATATTACTGAAAACCAGCCACAATATCACAGATGTATTCATTCCTTGACATCCAAAGCTTGAATACTTACACCAACCTTTACCTTTATTGTTTATTCACTCACACTACTTTATCTTTGACATAAATCCTTTTCTATCCACCTATTCTTTGTGTACTGATGTGTGGCAATTTGAGTCGATGCATCTGTGTGTGAGGTTCTATGTTGATTCTGAGTCAGAGATGACATAAGTCGGCAAACGTTAACCGTGTCTTTTGCATCTAAGTAGAGATTTTGTCAGCAACTGATTCATTTGAGTATACGGGAATCCTCAAGTAACCAAATCGTTTGATATATCCCACCACTTAATTTCTTATTCCTAAACTGGGGGTTAGTTGCAGACCAGTCTTACAATAATACCTTACATTTGACAGGTGCAAAACACATTCTAAACAGATTTCCGCTCAAGGAGTTCAGAAGACCATGCACATAATCACCATCCTCGCCTAACAGGTCTTTACCGCCTGTGTAGTCAAAGTCAATCACGTCCCCTCGAAATTAACACCTATAAAGTCGAAGATCCGTACCTAAAGCTGTCCATAATCACGTCTATGGTGATGTAAGAATGGCGTGGTAACAAACAGCACCACTGGCGGACACCACTGATCGTTGTCACTTCAGATGACAACTCTCTATAAACCGTTACATAGTTGCCCTCCACTAGTAAGGAGAGCTTCGATTAGCATCACTTACTCGATATTCCCTTGACAGTCACACACTACCGCGACTCATGATCGACATAGTAAAATGTCGCTAGAAATTTAGCAAGCATCGGCCTCCGGAAAGTATGCTTGAATACCAGAACCTGTTAAAGAGTGAAGGATCTACTCGATGTACTGTCGTGCAGGTCTGAAACCTGTCTGGTTTATTCGAGCCGTTTGTTCACGAACCAAACTGAAAAGTTTTCATTGGTCAACAATGTTCAGCGAAATTAGGTATTTAAATGTAAAAATGAACTGCTAAGAAGTTCACAGACCTGTCAACTTACAAAAAATCCTAACGACGTGACTAGAACTTTTGAATGATTTCAAGGTCAAGTACACTATCCAAATAATTCCAAAGTTCAATGGCAATAGTGTGACCAGAGGAAACTTATGGTTATTGAGCTCTCGTCTCTACGCCTTGAGGCTTGTTTGCATTTGTTTAGCTGTATCCCTCCGATCATCATAGAAGTCCTTAAAATTTCCTACTTGGTGGTAATGATTGTCTGTTTGAAGATATTTTATCTTGCGAACTATAGCTTAGTTTCGGTAAGGGGTCAACGGAGTTGCGGACAGAAATCAACTTACTTTCTGGAATTCCTGCTTTTGTAAGTGGCTGTGAGTATGTATCAGGCGTCACCTAAAAGTGTTGGAAATAGGGCGTCTGGGGAATGGGAAAAAGGTGCATTTGGAAAAATAAGTGTGACTGGTGACAATGTAGGGAAAAGATGGATCTTACTACAGGTATTAAGGTTGGGGAATACAGGGGTAGATGAGCATACCTTCGGTTGCTACCAGTGAACGTTCGTAGTGGGCCAATAACGCTTACATACTTATCCAGCACCCTTTCGGAGGAGCCACCTGAAGTAGCTTTGGCTACGTCGTTTGGCAGAGTGTTCCATAAAACACACTCTGTGTGTGAGAAGCTTGACTTCACTCTGCTCTTTACCCTATCTTGGTAGTATTAACGCCTCTTTTTAGTGCAGGGATGGCTATCGCGTTGAATACCCGTGAGTGTGGTCCAGTGTGGGTTTTCAATATCATGAGGAATAATTCTGGGGGTGGGGATCCAAGCTTCCTTCTTAGGAATTTCTTGATGACATTCGCCTTTCCTGCCATTCCCTCGTGGTTGGCAGCAGTATCAAGTGGGTTAGAGAAGTTAGCTCCTAGGTCATTTCCCATGAATACCCAGGCGATTGCCCACTTGTTGAGTATGAAGCTGCTTTTCATGGCTCCTGGAGTGCAAAGATGCACCACTGCACTTTCCAGGTTGAAGCTTAAACCATTCGCAGTTGACCAGGACTTATCATGTAGCGTTCTTAGATCCCTGCCTCCACCTACTGTCCTTATTTTGATGATGTTAGCAAACAGGAGGACAGACGGGGGGATTTTAATGACAAGGTCATCGGCGAAGAGTGAAGATGGGGGTGGCCCAAGGACGACTGTTCGAGAACCTGCTGTTCTTACACTTCTCTAGACTGATCGAATTCTGTTTACTTCAGTATGGAAATCTCTGTCCTCTAGATATGCTATGAACCATGCCGAGAGTGGTTCAGTGCCGTGTGGGCACCACCGAAAGCCTGCCTAAGTCC